TTCTGGCAGGGGCCTTGACACACCTTGTTCTGTCACCTGAGGTTTCTGCATACTTTCGCCAGATGTTTTCTCCACTGGGCCACTGCAGTTATTGTTTTCAACCTATTCAAAAGTTTAAAAAGTTGCCAGAATCAGAAGTAAATTACAGAATACAAGAAAACTTCCACGTCCAACTTGATTAGCTAGCATAAACTGAGCTACCTTAGTAAAGGACTCAGGTTTCTTTTTTGCTTTCTTCTTAGTGGAAAACAATTGATCGTATTCCTCTGTCCATTCTATGAGTCTTTTGCTAGGTTTTCTAATACGTTTGCATTCTGTGAAAAGCACAAACATTTTTGAGCCCACTTTAAAATTCCACAACTACATATTATCCTTAGATGATGTTAGCATGGATTACATTGAAATTTTACCTGTTGGGATGTCATTTTTTTGACAGTTGTCTTGAGTATTTTCAGATGCATTGATTGTAGTTTCCTTCCCAGGCACAAATGGACAAGACTTATTTGTATCACCCACCAAAACGTCACAATTTTCTGAGGGTAATTGTTCTGTTTCTTGAATACAAGTAACTTTGACTACATTTAACACTTTGTCACTGACTTGGTCAAACTTTTGCCAACGCTTTTTAGGCACATTAGCCGAGAACTTGGTGTCTGGTTCTTCTGAGGGCGGATGGTGCTCAGATATCAGTTTGTCAAATGTATCTTTTGAGTGGACATTTGCTGTGATCTCAGTGGTTTTCTTTTTTGAACAATTTTTTTTGCTAGGTCTTTGAGTATTTTTTGACACAGTAGAGGTCAGCTGAATTTCCGGGATCATATTTGTCCCAGACTTTGGTTTCATCTTCTGTTTTGATGGAGTTTTGCCCAGTTGACATTTTTGTTGATCCACTGTGCTTACTGTGTTCATCTCATCTTTTACGTCCAGAATCAGTGATGGCTCCTCTTTAATAAGTTCATTTACGGGTAACGGTTCTATTACCAATGTGGTTCCATCTTTTTCCCGGCTATCGTGCATATCCTTGAGCATCATTAGGAATGTGCTAAACTTATAGTTTGCATCAGGATGAAATGACAAAGGCTGGCCACTCTGTTCATTTGCTAATGATTTGAAGGTTATTTCTTTCATGTTTTCCACATCTTCCATCTTTAAGCGCAAAGATTGAGTAGAACTAGAAGATGAATCGGAAGCATGACTCTCTTGTTTGCATTTAGATGAATGAAAGGCAACAGGTGCTTGAGATATCAAAGAAGCTTCATCTTCAGATTTGACTAAATTTGCATCATCTTTACAACTCAGAAGATCCGATGATAACTGGGTGCGCATGTTACTTTTTGAGTCCACTTTCAGATCACATCTTGCTGTAGTTGGCATCTTCTGTGAAGGGACATGGTTGTCTACATCTGTTGTTTCAGGCATTGTAACAACAGAAAAAGATACACAATTCTCTGTTTCGACATTTGATGCTGACTCTTGGTTTACCAGTTGTTTCTTCATCCACTCAGCCTCCTCCATCGCCTTCAGTGCTCTTGTCATCAGTCGACTACTTGCTGGAAGGCACTTCACTCTCCTATC